AGACCGTGAACGGTGGATTGTCGCTGGCGTGAAGGTAAACCTTCAGCATTGCAGCGTCATTTTTCCAGTCGCACACAATGAGGCGTGCCTTATCAGGGAAAGAGTGGCCTGATGATCCTGCTGGTACTAATACTGTAGAGACCGGATTGACAGAGGCAGCGACCAAGATGCGGTCGGATTTTTCAAGGGAAAATTGTGTCCCAACCACCACGCCGTGCAAGCCTCCCGCGTCGACCACGAGAGTGCCGTCCTCTTTCACCGCCAAAGTGTATGTCCTTCGATCACGCCGTGGGCCCTCCACTTCGAACATGTACCTGTGCTGATTCGAACCTTCACATTGCGGATTCTGATCGGGCAGGGTTGGCAATAGGTCGAGAAGGTCTGCATATGTGATCCTATTGGGCCGAATACGACGGAGTTGCGTGATGAGGCTGTCTGTGAAAAAACCGCACGGGTTACCGGTCGTGGAGATGCACTCCTGCGCGCGCTGATGCTGTTGGCACGCGGCCAGGAGAACGTGCGAGTCCATGAAATTGTGGGCGATTCCCGGGGGCAAGCTGACCTGCGCCTTCCGCCCAAAAAGATCTTGGTCGAGGTCTTCGGGGATTGGCACAAACGTCTCCGCGAAACGGGGGACTGGCAGGATGCCTGCTCTGGCTCCTCGTGTGCCAGATGCGGAATGGCAACAATCCAGGATCACGGTCTAAACGAGAATTACGATTCTTGTTTAGAAAGGCAGAAGGTGAACAAACATACAATGTTGTTTCCTCTGGCTGAAGCAAGCTGGCCCAGGAGAGTGTTGATGGTACGGTCCGGTATCCCATGAACAGTCTCGCCATCGTCAGTCTCCGTGCGTTCATCATGCGGAACAATGGTTTCGATTTTTCCATCTGTAGACGGCCACGAACTGGGAGCAGGCGCTCGACTGCCGTGCCCCGCATAGTAAACGACAATCGCGTCATTCTTTTCGATGGACGGGTTGTGTATTAGGTGTGACTGAAAGATACTGATTATAGACTCGCGTGTGGCGTCGGCATTGGTGAGAAGAACGATGTGGGCTTCAGGTATGTGGAATCGGTTGGTTAAATATGTTTTCATGGTCAGCGCATCGTTGACACATCCCCTGAGATCGGGGATGGCGTTCGACAAGTACTGTGCGCTTGGTTAGACTGACAAAAATTGTGAACAGGTTAGGTTAAATCGAACTTCATCTATTCCAACTATCAACGCGAAGACCGGACAATGAGGATCCCTGGTGACTTGGTTAATTCCATTTTTATGCCAGGGTCGATGCCTGTTTTACCTCATGTTTGTTTCTGATTCTCGCAGCTGGTAGGTGACGGACATGAGGCGTCGTTTGTTTGCCGATGGGAACTTTTTGGTGAGGTCTATACCGCTCCAGTTTCAGCCCATGGAATTGAATGAAGTTGGTTTTAGATACCTTGGTTCCGTGGCTCGAGGTCGGTGGCAATATTTACATTGCCTAACAACACTGGCTTGCCAAGAGGTCTCGTACGGTAAAGGCCAATAAACAGGTCATCAGAACCGTCCCAATCACTTAGGAAATTAAAAGGGCAATCATAATTTGAGCAAAGAAGAGACGCTCACAAAGCAAATTTTTCGTCCCACGAATATGGCGCCATCCCTCGAACACTGGTCGTCCTCTGGAGCTGTGAGCCCATACGCATTTCAAGGTGTACTTTGTTCAACGCAGAGCAGATATCGGGTGGAAGGCCCTGGACATGGAAGACTGGAGACATTATGGCGGCAGGAAAACCCCGCAGGAAGGACGGGTACCATTTATTTCAATCTTTTCGAACCTAATTATGACACAATGAATATCGTCAACGAAGAAGAAGAATCGAACGCACTTCTCTTTCGGTCCCATTTGGTTCTGAAGACCGTCCGGATAAACGCAGGGCCCTGCTGGCAGAAGGTGGAGGGTACGAGGGAAGGAGCAAAAGAGTCGCGGTTTGAGCAGCGCGCTTTACACACGTTGGCGGCGATAGCCTTCGCACTGCGAGGTTGAGAGTAAACCTGAAACGCACGTAAAACTGCGGCTTGCTGGTTAAACGGCCGTAGGATAAGATGAACGGCCTCAAGAAGAGAGGAAGACTCTGTTGAGTCGGCCTCCCGTGACGGTCGTGCGGCGCTTCCGACTCGCGCATCTCGATTCTCGGTCCTTAAGGAAACTGCGGCCTGCAGCCTCAAGCAACATTTTTCGGTAAGGCCAGCCGAGGCGGAAAGCGTGGATGTAACGATTGAATCCGTTTGGGAACGACCTCAAAACGACCTTTTATCACGTGCGCCTGATGTTCAGAAAATATGCAAGTACATGTATGGCAAAAACTCCGCATTCAAGTTTCAGCTTTGAGACGGCGTTTATAACTACTAGGACCTAGATCACATCCTGCTTGTCATACATACTTAGACCTCCGAGTCACTGGCAGAACACTCGTGGGTATAATAGGATCACCACGTTCCATCCATGAGGATGTAACAGCTTGACCCTCCACCATCAAGCCACTGGATAGCATGCTCAACAGTGAACGGGCATATGTCGACCTTCTTTTCCGCGCTTCAAGAAAATATGCGAGCTGGGACCCAGAAGTAATTCTAGTAAACACATGATGTGTGTCTGAACCAACCTTCAGATACCGGTGAAAGTCGGAGATTGGGGCAAAATAACCCAAGGCCAACGGGGTCTTGCGTTCTGGCGCAAGAACGGAATATTTTTGAAGGAAGGAAATATTTTTCTCGATGGAAAGGCCAAAGAGTACAAGATTCCAGAGCCAGTTGAGTATGGCGGCGGGGAGACAGAAGCGGAAACTTGGGTTGTTTCCAAGAACGCGGAGCAGGTAGACGCATCTTCTTCCGTCGGGTGAGCAGAATCCGTCTTTATATGGTGTGTCTTATATAACAAAATATTTCAGAGTTAGTCCAGCTATCGCACAATGCAAGGTGAAGGGAGCCTTCAAGTTCTCGTCAGGCAGAGGCGCTATCCTTGTCATGCAGAACGACCTGATTTCTGTTATCGACCCGCCAGCGGCATTGAGGCGTCTTCTGGAGAACCCCAGCATGTGCGGCTTCGTCATCGTATCAGAAGTCCATTCCTGTTCCTCATACGCCCGACTCCTCACCGCCGAAGCGGGGAGCACCATTGCTCTGGGCTTGAAGGTCGAGCCGCCCGTTTCAAGCGCTGCATCGGCCAGCGCGAATGCGACATGGGTTCGCAGTGTGGCGTCTGGAAATTTCAAATCTCAGGTCAATAAGAAGGGTGAACGCAAATTTTACCCGCTGTTCCGGCTCGTATCTCTGACAGAAAAGGCGGTATCGACGGGAATGCGGGGAGACTCGGGTGACCCTGATGCGGGACTTCCGGATGCTGAGCCGCCCTGGGACGCAGAAGCCGGGCTGCAAAGTCGCTAAATTCGCGGATGCCATGGGTGCTGGGATTTGCTTGGATATCCCTGTGTTTGCACCAGCAAAGGCCTGGCTATAAACTATTTGAATACGCGATGCGAATGATATGTACAACTTTATTCAAGACCCACCAATTGTTCAGCCTGCATCTATGCCGTCTGAAACCCGCCATGCACGGTGGATTTAGAAGCAAACGCACCAGTGCCGTGGCCAACGGGAAGCCGCTTCGCCCGCGTTCCGTCTCGGCCCAAGACACGAGTGGCTCGTATATGCCCCGAGGCCCAACATCGTTGTGGCTGGCTTCGTCGAGCGGCTTTTCTTGAGCCCACGTTGTTTTTTGCGAGCGGGAGAAAGTGTTAGAAATGACTGAAGGGAAACTGATAGATGGGGCGCCAGGAATCATATTAGCTTGTTGAAGTATGAAACCAGCATACTTCGTTTTCGTAGTTTGCTTGCGCGCTCGTTGTGGTGCTTCGACATGATGAGTTGGGTGTTTTATTTCTGGGAATACAGCGATAATCAAGTATGATCCACAATCATATCTCGTCCATTGGCTCTTACTGATCGTCGAGCAGAATCGCGAGTGAGGGGCTTTCTCATGTCTGCGAGTTTATTAGCAGAGAAAGCAACGTGAATTGATGCTCACCAAATGCATCCTCTTCGTCTCTACCCCGGCTCCCGACCCCCAGACTCCCGTAATACTCTTTGATCCTGCGCCAAACGCTGTACCCCATGCCTTCATACATCTCGATGGCAACTTCATTGTTACAACGGACGAAGAGGTCTACAAAGTAAGCGTTATATACGGTGTCGGAGATGAATTCTAGGAGCGCCGTCATTTTGCGAGCTAGAGAAAGACGCCGGTACTCCGGGGCGACGGTGAGAGCCGTTACATGACCATGCCAATCGTTGTTGTTGCCGTCGGCGTTACCGAGGACTGGAGTACAGTATTAGCGGCGCCAAAAAGAAAGAAAAAGAAAAGGTAGACGCACTGTATCCCATCAGACGCCCACTCGGAGCGGCCTGCACATAGCAGAGATCCGGCCAGCTTGAGAGGTAGTTGAGGTAGAACGAGAGGCCATACTGCAAGGCTCAGCAACATTAGATGTGCAATGACCCGTCACCCAAAGCTCACTGTTTCCGTCCAGATGTCCAAATTGCTACCAAATTGAAATCGTAAGACATTTAGCGGCGCCCGAGTGAAGGAGAGAAAGGCCCACATGTTGTTGAACTTGAACATGTCGTCAGCTCTGAATGGTCGGAGGACGCTCATGGTGGCTCTGTGGAAGAAAAAGTGCCGTCGGGCCGAGCCGGAACCCGTCAAAAAAAGTCCTCGCGCTGTCACGTGTCCAATCCCCTTTGAGTAATACTCTTTCCTCTTTTGGCGTCCGTGCCTCGCGCTCCTGAAACAAGTAAGTTCCTAGCAACGGACGCGGACCCCTTCACACTGCTTCGGCGCATAGCAGTTTACTAATCGACCAGCAAGTCTCGCGTTGATTGTGCCAAGGCGGCGTATATCGTTTTAAAAACAGTGGATTATTCTGGACTCAGTCAGAGCAGCCAAAAGGCAACCGTATATCCCCACGCGGGCGTCGAACCCGCAGCCTGGGTCGATGCAGCCCCTCAGTCTCACGCTCTACCGATTGAGCCAGCAAGGCGATACCGAGCATCAGGGAAAGCGTGTCAAAGGGATAAGAACTGCAGGAGAGAGAGATGAAAGATGGCGTGTCTGGTAGATTGCCGCAACAGAGCACCAAGTTCAGCTGATATAAGATAAGACTGGAGTGTATGTTCCATCCATTTGGTTTTCTCAAATCTCTGATCCCAGAAATCGAAGTCCCCGTATGTTTTGTTTTTTTAACTGAAGTCTGACGCCTCCCTACCTTGATTTCCTGCCCTCATAACAGGCTATGGTATAATTGTTACGCCGGAGACTCGCGACAGAGAATAAGCTGGATGGATTTTCCTCCATGACTCGGACTGGTCAGTGGTCTATGACCGAAGATGCGAAATTTTCTCCAGGTTAGATGCAGTGCCGGGTGTGGCCACAATATTCGCTCCTTCATATGCAAGTGGAAGCGAGCACAAAGCGATATCTTCAAGGAGTTGCGATTAGTGATGTTCTGGCCTTGGCTTGGCCTGGAAGCCATGGCTTTGGCCCGCTTTCAAGCGGCTTTGGCTCGTCAATACCCGAAGCCAGGCCAAAACTTTTGGCTCTGGCTTGGCTTGGCCTGGCTTTGGCCTGAGCCATGGCTTTTCGGCGGAATTCGGACCACAACAAAACCGAGGTATGTGTCGTCCAAATAGGGTCTTGAGAGCCTCAATATGTGCTGTGAAGCCCGTGTAGTGTTAACTGCGGGATTATCTTGTCGCAACCGGCGGAATGAGATGTCACCATCAATATCTGACGCGTGAATTCGAGCTCCCACCAATGGTTTGGGCCAAATAAGAATGCCTGGAACATTTCCAGCCAGTACAGATACCATAGTGAGTAGTGAGTGCTGGAGATTTTGTGTGAGTGATATCTAAGTGGATTTTGGATATCTTGTTCGCCAATCTACGATGTTCGAAGGGGGGTCTAAAAGCCATGGCTTTATGGCCCGGCTTTGGCCTAGAATACATCGGAGCCGGGCCAAAAGCCATGCCAGGCCAAGGTTTTGGCTTGGCTTTGGCCCTGGTACCAAAGCCAAAAAGCCATGGCTTTTTGGCCTGAAGCCAAAGCCAGAACATCACTAGTTGCGATGTTGGTTGGGTTCGTTCAAAGTCGCGGAAGTCGGGCCGATACTCGGCAAAGTCGATGCCATCATTCAGCCCTCTCTGTCTTCAACTCCAGTGCATTAGGGTCAATAAATGCAACTGCGTCTTTGCGTTCAATGCAATCCTTCATTGTCGGCTCCAGAAGCTCAGAACCAAAGGCTTGCACCCAGAAGTCTTTGTGTACATCTCTCCGTGATGTGGCAAAGCCAGGCTGTGACTGTTAGTCTGTTCCCCGCTGCGAGCTAAAAATGCGCCCGCTATAGGAAGCAATGTCCGAATCCCCGCCCACTCAACATACCATGGCCTCCGCACGCACTTTGGACCCCGACTCTACCACTAAACAAGGGCTTGGTACAGCCAACGACTCGGAGACGGCGGGCCAGCCAACATTGGCAGACTTGCGCGAGCCTGGTGCGACTGGCAGAGTGTTTATTCCCCGGTGATTAAATCTGCGTCTAGTCCATGTGGCTTCACGATTCACTGTCTTTTTGCAGAATGGACATAGACTATGACCCCGAGGCTCAAAATGTCGTTGCAACACTGGAACTCCCAGGGATCAAGCTTGAACAACTCTCTATTTTTTACAAGGAAGGACTTCTTGAGATTCGCGGACGGAGGCTCTGTCAGCACCGTCGCCACCCTTCTCAACGCGCTAACGGGGCAGATACTCCAACTCCCGTCGCTGAACCTTACAATGCCCGACAGTTCTTCCCGTATCACGAGCTGTGTTACGGTAGTTATTACCGCCGTGTGCGGTTACCCTACGGTGTAGACGTGAGTCTCGGTCTACATGCATTTTCCAACTCATTCTGCATCAACTTGAACTCTTCCGGAATCGCACTAACAAGCCGCCAGCAGATTTCGTGTATCTCGGCGAGCCTCTCCGACGGGATGCTCACGATCTGTTGGCCTCACTTTACAACATGCGAGGTACGAGCACCAGTTTGTTGTAGCGTCTGTTTAGAAGAGACTACTTACTGTGGGAGAAGCAACAGGGCGTGGACTCGGATTTGTATGGAGACCATCCAATCTCGTCGGTTCGTTCGGACCCACAGAACGTGGCCGAGGAGTCGAAGAGCTGAGATATATGTATCTTCTTAGGCGGCTTGGTAGCATGCCAAATAGTTTCAAACTGATTCGAGAGTATATGTACTTATTTGTTATTAAATCAGCATCCAAGTACTTGCAAGATACATGTAATGCTTGAGATGAGATCATGTCGTGTGACCAGTGCCAAAGATGCCCAGAAGTCCGGTGTAGCGCTCGCTCCAAAAAATCTACAATTGCATTGCTATTCCAAGGATCTTTGCGCGGTGGGCAACAAGACGGAAGACAGCAATGGTGAGCATCAAGAAGGGGCCGCAAGGCTGCCAATGATCGAGACATCAGGACACAATCCACAACGCTTGTATCAGCGACATACCAATGAGTAGAGGTTCAAGAATCAGAATCTGAAAGCTCGCAACGAACAACTGGGCGAGATCTGGACTGGGGAGCTACGAAGCTAAGGATTTTCACACAGCTTCTTCGACTTCCCCCAGGTGACCGAATATATGTCGTCATACGAGGTTCGAATGATTGTCAAGCACACCAAAAAAAGAGAAATTTTAGCTCAGGCGAACACCCAGTCGAAAACACTGGTTTGGGCTGCCAGCTTAATCCTGGGGAAATGAACAGACAGATATGGTGGAAGAGTTCGGGGTCAATTGGGAACCAGTCGAGGTCTGGAGACTAGGAAAGACAAAGTCCTGGGGGAAACTTGAAGTGAGGGTCTCGTAGACCTCCGAAGTCTCCAGGTAAACGTGGTTATCTTGAAAAGACCTCACGTGGCAAGAATAGAAAACGAAGCGAGCCCAGTCGGCGGTGGTGATAGGTCGCCGTAACACCTGTATGCTCCGAGTGTTTTTTTCTGCCAACAACGTTTGAATCTCACAATTTGCAGCTTCGCATCATCTTTGTCGCCAAGACGAGTCTGGGTGATATCCCATAGATCGTTCGGCATGGTCCGTAGGAGATTGAGCAGAGTGTCCTGGTATCTCCACAGGAGATCGAGCGCAGGATTCAGAAGATCGTGGAAGTCCTAGCGAGAGGACATAGATCGCGTCGGCGTCGTGGATACGCCTGGACGGGGCGGCCGGACCACCATCCAACGGGTTCATCGAGGGAAACCTGCTCACAGATCATCTCCACTACTTCCCCGATTCGCCAGGCGCGATGCATGCTGAGTGGCCGAGTCGCTCCGAGTCGACTAAAAACCCTGCCGGAATCCTGAGAGCGGATTTTGCCCTTGAAGGCGCCGGGCTCAAAACTGAGCGAGAGCCGAGCCGGGAAATGGAGAGAAAGCGTGATAGCGGATGGGCGTGCCCGCTTGCGCTAAAAACAGATTCGAGAAACGCGGAAGATTCTCAGTGCAGACGATGGCGGAAGACAGACAAGAGGTGGCGTTCAGGCGTTGTGTTGGCAAAGTTTGTTCCCAGCCATTCCATCAGCCATCAAAGCGGGAATCATTATTCGCCGGTCGTCTGCAGTGCAACAACCAATCAAGCTCGACCATATGGTTGTCCCGAATCCCCAGCTTGCCGACCTGCAAGATGGGTAATTGGCACTCAATTACATGGATATGGAGCACAATGCCGATGAATGCCGAACATCACGGCTCGTCATTCGGCTGTCCCGGCACTGGTGAGCGCACTGTTGAACATTAATATTGCCTCGAATACCCTTAAAGAGAAACGGTTCTTCAGGAACTTGTACTTTGCCGCATGGATTCAAGCAGGATGGTTTGGCCCAGCCTGCAGACCGCTGGAGCATCGGGCGCTATTTTTTCCGGGACGTAGGTACCGGGATGCACATTGCACGCAAACGAGCCAGGGTATCATTGAGACAACTCTGCAAACCGAAGGCTTGTGAGGCTGGACGGAGACCATTTGACCGCCCCCGGTGGTTCGGAATGGAACAAATTCATTGCCGGACCGGTCCGAAAAATCCCTGGCTCTGAGCTGGCAATCCGCTCCGCTCCTTCATGACGATTCATTCGCTCGCACTGTCCAGTCGACGCGGACACGAGAACCTCAACTTGAGACGCTTTCGAGACGCTACATATCAGTCATACTAGTAAGTGCTCCGAGCCCTGCCGAGCCCAAGACGGACTGACGGAGCGAAATTAACCGTTCGAAGCAAGTTCGAAGTCTGTGAGCCAAGGGTCGGCGAGGCACGAGCCGGCCTAGGTGGTAGGCAAGGAAGACAAGCCGAAGAGGACTGCCATCAACTTGCGCGGCAAAGCCGGCTGAGATCAGATTCGCACGAATCTGATCTCGCATCTTTCTGCTTGCGCACAACGACGCGCCGCGAAAAAAGTCCTTCCACTCGTATATCTCTCGCGCTTTACGCGTTTTTTCCCACCCTCCTCCCGTTCCCATCTCCCTTCGTTCGCGTTTGGGTTGCTTTTTGGGCGTCCCATCGGCCCTTTTGGTGGCCCAGACGCGCAGGCTCGTCCGTTGCCGCGTTCCGTCCCCCCCCGACCCGGGCTTTGCCGCACCTTCGCGCTGCCCCGCAAAGCCCAGTCGGCCGGAACGGCCGAGCCTCCCACAAACACACACACAACCTCTCTCTCTCATCCCCTTCATCTTCACAGCAGGCCTCAAAGGAGGCGCGTCCTCCCTTGCATCCATGTGAGTCAGATGCTCTTTATCTTATAAAGAAGCGCGGTAGAGATTAGAGGTTTATCCGGATGGCGCCCACTTCATCTATCCTGCTGTCGAACGGAACGGTACTCCTCCACGATGAAAACGACCATGTGAATCCAACCAAGGCCGATATACTCATAATCGACAACAAAATCGCTGAAATCGGGCCAACCATTTCTCCTCCCGCGGATACTCTCACCATCAATTGCGCGGGG